GTCCAAATCTATGTTGATGATATTGTGTTTGGTGCTACTAATGATTTTCTTTGTCAAGAGTTTTCCAAAGCTATGCAAGGTGAATTTGAAATGAGCATGATGGGTGAGCTCAACTTGTTCTTGGGACTTCAAATCAAACAATCCAAATAAGGCATCTTCATTAACCAAAGCAAGTATATAAAGCAAATGCTTAAGAAGTTTGGCATGGAGACTTGTAAGCCCATAGCAACTCCTATGAGCACTTTAATTAATCTAGACAAGGATGAAGGAGGTAAGCCTATTGATCCCAAACTTTATAGAAGCATGATTGCTTCTTTGCTTTATTTAACTGCAAGTAGATTGGATATAATGTTTAGTGTTTGTTTGTGTGCTAGATTTCAAGCTTGTCCTAAGGAGTCACACTTAATTGCGGTTAAACGAGTCTTTAGGTACCTAAAGGATACTCCCAACCTTGGTTTATGGTATCCTAAGGGTTCTTCCTTAGACTTACATTCATCTTCGGATGCGAACTATGTGGGTTGTAGGATTGATAGAAAAAGTACAAGTGGAACTTGTCAATTTTTTGGTAATATGCTCATATCATGGTTTTCCAAAAAGCAAAATAGTGTTGCTCTATCTACAACCGAGGCCGAATACATAGCCGCTGTAAGTTGTTGCACTTAAGTGTTGTGGATGAAACAACAAATTTTGGATTTTGGCATTGCTATGGATCATATTCCTATTAATTGTGACAATACTAGTGCTATCAATCTCACTAAAAATCCCATCCAACATTCTCGCACCAAGCACATAGAAATTAGGCACCATTTTATTAGGGATCATGTTGCTAATGGTGATGTTGATTTATTATTTGTGGACACTAAAAATCAATTAGCTAATATTTTTACAAAGCCTCTTGATCGTGATAGGTTTTTCTTCATTAGAAATGAGCTTGGTATGTTAGATCCTAGTGCTTGATATGATTCTTGAAATTAATGAATATGCTTATTAGAAATTGTGCATATTGATATGTGTACCTTGATTATATTCATGATATTTGATGATGCATTCATTGATATATGACTAAAGTTGCATTATTTAGTAGTGGATGTCCAATTTAAACTTAGTTAAATGAAGAGATATCAAATTAAGGTGCATTCCCTTCAAAATAGCCCCAAACTTTCTGTTTGTCCCAATCAAGGCCAGTAGAGCCGGCTCATCCCTTTTCACAGCTTGCTCAACCAAAAACCCGAGAGTATTCTCTCTTTACAGCACAGCCAGCTCTAGCTTCACAGCCGGCTCAACCCAAAAAAATCGAGACTCTTCTCTCTCTAAACCACAGCCGGCTCAACCGCAGATGACCCGACCCGGACCCGCTTTACAGTCGGCTCTGTAATTATAGCCGACTTTCCTATAGAATTTTTAAAGCCTCGGGTTTCTCTCTCCCTGCACAAACCAACCCAGATCTGTTTCAAACCAGCGACCTCTCCTCTCCCAAAACTCACCATTCACTCTCTCAATCACCAAAATCCCTCCAAATCTCTAAAGCCCATCCCTTAAACACTCAAATACCTTCAAATCCTTGCTTACCCAACACAAAACCTCAAGCTTTTCACTTCAATTTGTGTGGGATCTGCTGTATTTTTGGTGTGGCTGGTATTTTTGTTGGGATTTCTCTCTCATGGCTTCAAGAAGGGGCGAAAGCAAGAGGAAACAGATTGGGAGTTCTAGTGCCGGTGGCCAAGCCCAAGAAGAAGGTAATCTCGTTGATAATGTTCTCTTTGTGGATGATGATGCCATTAATCGCTATAATTTTTTCAAAAACTTGGCTGTGCTACCATGCAATTGTGTGAAATTCAGTCAATTTCCTCAAGGAGATATGCGTGTTGAACAAATTTTTAGGGAACTTGGGTGGAAGGATTATATAGAAATTAAAGAGCCTGTGTATTATGAAGTTGTTCATCAATTTTATGCTAATTTGAAACCAAGAGAGAATAAATGCAAAACTATGGTTGCTGGGGTGTCATTTCAGTTTTCTCCAAGGGATATTTGTGCTGTATTAGATATACCTGCAAGAGGAGATGATGAGTTTCTAGATGTGAATCATGCTTTAGTTAGAGCCATAATTGCCCCCAATTGCATTGAAAATCAAATTAAAGCGGGGTTTCTTACACCAGAGAATAGAGTTTTGCAGTGGATTATATCTCGCATTATTGCTCAGAGGAAGGGTTCTAAATCTTATGTTCTTGCTAGTGATCTTCCCTGGTTTGATTATCTTCTTAACGGAAAAAGGGTGAACCTAGGAAGATACATTTTCTGAAGCATAATCAAGCCTTACTCACCAACTACGGGACTTCCTCATGGTGCTCTAATTACCAAATTGGCGAAGGGGAACAACATTGATCTTACATCCTTTAGGTTCTGAACGGTTCCTGGTGGGACTACACTTACCAAAGCTTCTTTTGAGAAAATGGACTGTTTGTTTAGAAATGGCATTTGGATAAAGAAAGGGGAACAAGAAGGGGATGAAGAAGAAGGTGATACAAATCAAGAAATGGCAGAACAAGGGGCAAAAGAACATGAAGATGACAGCCCAAGATCATTTCGAGCCTCCATGCAAAGAATTAACCGTGAAACTATGGAGTTAATGATATCTGAGATGCAGCAGCTGCACACCGACTTTTATGGTTTTCGGACAAAAATGAGAGGGAGAATGACTAACGTGGAAGGAAAGCTTAATCAGCTTGTTAACCATTTTTTTCCTCCAACCCCACCTGATGCCAACTGACTTGATATTTCTTTAGTTTGGCTAATCTTTAGGATGGACATCTTAGGGTTATGCATGTTATGGATATGTCTTGAACCTTTTTATCTTGTTTTATGAATGGAAATGGCATCACTGGTGTTAACATGCTTTGTGAATTGTTGTTTATGATTTGATGATACTATGCTTTTATTGAGGGGGAGTTTATTGGTTGATGATTGTATTAATGTCTTTGGTTGTCTATGGTGCTATATTGATGATGATTGATGATTAGATGCTTTAAAGGTTGATAGCATGAATTAAGGGGAAGCATTTTGTGCTTAAATTACTTTTCTTAATGGTACTTTTTGATGAATGACAAAAAGGGGGAGAGAATATGCTGAATTTAATGTCATTTTCTAGAGTACCTTGTGCTGAAATTCTGGTTAATATTGAAGTATTTATGTGCTTTCATTAATTAATTCTCAAAGTGTTTTGTCATTATCAAAAAGGGGGAGATTGTTGTACCTATGATTTTGATGATTACAAAACACATTTGAGTGACTAATTGGTTTATTTAAGTGTGTAGTTAAGTTGCTAAAAGATTGCAAGTAAACTTGGATTGCACTAAAAATAAACCAAAAGGATTC